CCACTGAGCCCCCTAAAATTCCTCAGCAACTAATAAACATTTAGAAATTAATTTATCCCATTTTATGAGTCTCTTCTCACCCCACTGAGTCCCCCAAAATTCCTCAGCACCTAATAAACATTTAGAAATTAAATTATCCCATCATTAATCCATGTTTCAAAGCACAGCCCCAACTTCAGGTGCAGATTAATTAGGATTATTTTCCATTTTTGGGGAAATTATGAGTCTCTTCTTGCTGGTGGATTCACCCCACTGAGCCCCTCAAAATTCCTCAGCAATTAATAAACATTTAGAAATTAAATTATCCCATTGTTCATCCACATTCCGAAGCACAGCTCCAACTTTGGGTGCAGGTTAATTAGGATTAAATCCTCCTCCCAACCTCTCCAGCAGGTCAAAGGCATCTGGGGAAACCTCAAACCAAGGGGAATTTGGCCCTTGAGAGAGACCAAAACCTCGGGTTTCCCCACAGATTAATTTTGCAGCCAAAAGTTGCTTGTAAAATATCATAAAATATTGTAAAACCAGCTAGAAATGGAGGGAGAAACTGGATTTTTGGGGCTTTTTGGGTGCAGAGCAGGAATCTGGCCATGCTGCAGGAGATCCTCAGATCTCCTCACCCCTTAGGACCTTCCTACCCACCACACCGCCAGGAAATCAGTGAGATATTCTCCAAAAAAAACCCTTTTTGGTTATTAATGGTGAGCCCCGCCCTTTCCAATGAGTTAGATCATTTAAACAATAAATAAATATGGAAATAAAAAGCATTTTCAAGCCCTGCTTGCCCCCACACCCTCCCTGGGCACCTGCACAGGGATTTCTGTGCAATTAGACACACACCCAGCAAGGGCACGAGGGTTAGATAACCCTCAGGAAGAAATATTTGTAAATATAGTCAGGATTATGTAAGATTGAGCCTAAAAAATAATCACTTTATATCTCCTGAGACCCTAAAAGGATGTGGGATTTCTTGCTTCCTCTTCCCCTGCTCTGACACTTCGCACATCCCAGGTGCAGGGAAGTCCTGACCATAGTTCAGTGATTCAAAACTGCTTAAAATCAGGTTTATTTTTAACTTTTAAAATTATAAAAGTGGATAAAACCTCCCCTTCCTTCATGTCTGAGACGGGCAGGGGGGATCTGACCATGCCATGGGGTGAAAATACTAAATTTCTGTGGTTTTTAAACCCCAAACGCCTCAAAAAATGACTGATGGCCTCAAAAGATTTCCAGGAGCAGTTCTGGGGCAGGAAAATCCCAGGGATGAGCTTTAAAATCCACCAAAACCCATGTTTTCACCAAAAATTGTCAGTTTTGGACCCAACCAGCATTGAGCACGAGGGGCTTCGCTGTGCTGGGATTTGATGGTTTGGAAGGGGAAATTTGGGCTTTGAAAAGCGAAATCCAACCCACGAGGGGGAAATTTGGAAAATCCAACCCACGGGGGGGGGGGGAAATTCAGAAAATCCAACCCACAGTGGGGGAAATT